TGCTGATCGACACCAAATGCCAGATGCTTCCGAGGTGTGTCTGAGTATTCAGCACTTCGAACCCAAACGCCGGCACCAGCCAAGCAGCCACCGCAGGTGGTTCGCGGCCGTGCGCTTGAAGACGAGCTGCCTCCAAGGCCCTAGTGCCTCGCGGTGGGTTTGGTTTGCCCTTTGCCCTAAGCCCCAAACCCCTCTAACCCCCCAACTTTGAAAGAACACCCCAACTTTGAACCCGAAGCCCCGAAACCTGGAGGGGTCCCAGGGGCTTGGGGTAGCTCCCTCAACCCCTGGTGCAAGCCATTAAGCAACGCTCTGTGCCCCATTCCCAAAATTTCCCCTCATCACCGAAATTCTCCCCTCTCCCGCAAAAAAAACTTGATCCCTAGATGCTGCAAGTTGCAGGTTCTGCAGCTCATACTCAATGCAATCATACTTCACAACGATTTCAGAACCATCTCAAAATCATTACCAGGCGCCGGCCGGGGTGACAGCAGCAGCTTCTCCAAGGCCTGCTCTTGCTTGAGGTCCATCAGGGTTTGGGGTTTAGGGTCTAGGGTTTAGGGGGAAGCGCGGGGCATAACACCAGGGCCAAAACGAATATCAATATCGGTTTGGTTGTAGGGTTTAGGGTTCAGGGCCTAGGTTCTAGAGAAAAAATGAGTTGTAGGAGGGGTCGCAGTGGTTGCTTGGTGAACAGGGCCGAGAATTCTCGACCACACGGGAACGCCGACAAAACGCAAGAAAAACTGAAGTGGTAAGCCCCCGAGTCATGTTTCAAACTTCTGACTAGACCCAAGAGTAACCTGGGAATAAAAGGGTGCCCCTCTTTAGAGTGGGTCCTAGCTGATGCGTAATCCCCACAAAACGTCTGCGACAAAACTGTGATGGGAAAGCCTCTGAGACATGCCTGCTTGCTGATTTGTTTCTGTCCGCTGTGAGTATCTTTTTCGTTTCGGGGCGTGGGTACGGTGGAAATGTTACACTATTCCGAGGAGATAATCTTCTCATCACATTAGACCATACTTGGGTTTCTAGATCTCAGCACAAACCCCACAAGGCCTTCCTTGCTCCCCTCTCCCCCCCACTTCCCACCAGCACCACTTTTTGAGGCCGGGAGGGCGACTTGGCTTCGCAGCCTTTAGGGTTTAGGGTTCAGGGTTTACGACGCAAAGGGCCCAATGCAGCTCAAAAATCCTGACACGCGCACCCCCTAGGTAAGGCCTGCCCATCCATGCTCGCCACCTCGCGTTCCTCGACTCGGACGAGGGTGTCCCCAGGGCGGATGCCATTGTACTTGTCCCAGAACCTGGGGTTGGACTTGGGAGTTGTGCCGCTTCGACTTCTTTTTCCACCCGTATATGACATGTAGGGGCCTTTTTTGTTAGAATAGGGTTCTGGGGGTTTTCATGGTATGCCTATAAAGGGACCGTAAGGGAATACTATTCGTACTTCTTCCGACCCCTAAATTAGCTGGATGAATCGGTTCGCTGGAGTCGAGTGCGGAATGACTGAACAAAACCACTCTACTCTTGAGCGCGTTGCTGCAGATTCACCACCCGCAAAAGGTGCAGGGGATGAATCAAGATCCAACATAAACCGTCATGACAAAAAAACACATCATGCAGACACACGCATCCCCCACTTCATATTCAAGATTCGAAACCTGACATCCTCACACAACGCACAACACCCAAAGCTATGCTAAAAACCCCAAAAACCCTATAAGCGCTATAAACCCTAAAAACCCCAAAACCCTGTAAACCCCTATAAACCCTATAAAACCATACAGCCGATAAACCCTAAACCCTAAACCCGAAACCCTAAACCCTAAACCCTATAAACCCTAAACCCTAAACCCTAAACCCTAAACCCAAAACCCTAAACCCTAAACCCTAAACCAGGCGACTCCAGGGCCGCGGGCACCGCACTCTCCACCTCTACCTGCCAAGTCTGGGCCGGGATGTGGGCCTCGGCTTTGAGGTCCATGGCTACTCTTCTTTAAGTGGGGGTTAGAGAAGTTATGGTTTGGGTTTAGGGTTTAGGGTTTAGGGTTTAGGGTTTAGGGTTTAGGGTTTAGGGTTTAGGGTTTAGGGTTTAGGGTTTAGGGTTTAGGGTTTAGGGTTTAGGGTTTAGGGTTTAGGATGGTTTATGGTTTAGGGTTTAGGGTTTCGGGTTTAGGGTTTAGAGTTTCGGGTTTAGACTTTTTTGAGGGGGAACCGGGGGGGTGGGGAAACTGGGTGTCCTGTATTCTTACGGTAGTTACAAGGTCCGGTCCTTATTCCGGGACCTGAATTTGAAAAACAAACAGAATGAACCCCCCACCCCTCTCAAGACCCCTTTGTGGCATCCCTTAAGACCCTAAACCCCTAAACTCTAAACCCTACACTTTAAACCCTAAACCCTAAACCCTAAACCCTTAACCCTGAACCCTAAACCCTAAACCTTAAGCCGCCCCAATTTTCGGAAGTTCCTGTATGATTTTGGGAAGCCGACGGCTGCAGAAGCTTCTCGGCGAAGGGGCCGTTCTGGGATTTTGGGGAAGTTGCCGGTGTACCTCGAACCGTAAGGCTCTAAGTACCTAGTTGCTGAGTACCCTGGCCTAAAAAGGTTAACCTTTTCAATTATGGTAGAACTGTATATACCCCAAAAGGTTAAATGTTATCTACTCAGATACTAAGAGTATGTAGATAAGACTTTCTTTGGGGTTCAAGAATGCCTTGATGCATACTTTTGGGTCCGACGTCTGTTAAAGAATGCCTACCGTGGCTTAAAGGGAAGTCGCAACAAGCCTAAAACCCCAAAGGATCTGTCATTAGGCATGCTTGGTGGTTCGTGGTGCTCGCAAACTGGCGATCGCAAGTGCCGGAATGGGGGCTGAGCGCTTGGGATGCCACTTGGTAGCCCAGGAACCAGGTGCCCTCTTTGGGGTTGGTTGCTTTGCAAGAGAACCCTAAACCCTAAACCCTGAACATTCCCAAACCCTAAACCCTCCCAAACCCTAAACCCTAAACCCCCACTGGGCCACCAAGGCCAGGGGGCTCCGACTCTTCGGTTGTAGACTTAAACTTAGCTGAGGGCACCAAAACCTTAACGAACATGTACCGAAGAAGATGCTTTAAATGCCCAGTCTCCGGGTGAAGGATCAGCCGCAAACCTTCTGCCAATTCCAACGGCTTTCCGCAACAACGGCAGATGCATCTCAAAAAGAGGAAGGTTTCGATCACGTGCACACCGGCACCCCATATCGTCACAAGCATAACATAACCTACTGGACTGCCGCTGTCACACTATATACCACATAGCCCAATACAAGATGTTCAAACTTAACAAAACATTGAGGACACATGTAGCTCGACATGGCAAACCATGCGCTGGCCCCCACCCACAGTTGGACTTACACGGATGAGCACGCAAATACGTACGCGCATATGCACGTATAACCGCGTCAAGATGTGCACCAGCATGTTACAGAATAGTGAGGGCATGCATGTGCACTTTTGATCCAACAACGTACGCATACATAAAGGTACACATACACATGCAGCAAGTGGTTTCGTTGCAGAAAATTCCGTTCCAACACGTACATGCAGCTACATCTCCAGTCCGCATCAGCATGTGTGAGCCGCCACATACAGATCTACATGCAAACCCACACCCAAAAACGTCACACAGAACTCCTTCGTTCGTTCCTTCATTCCTTCCTTGAGCTTTTGCAGTTTTAGATTGAAGTATAATGAAAAGCTATGCTTTGTGCTACACACGACCGCACAACAAAATGCACGTACCTCAGCTCACGAACGACCCGCCTACCTACATACCTACTTACCTACCTTATAACGACACTACAGCAGTGCACATGCTTGTGCGCGCGTACGGGCGTGTGCATACATGCTCAGCTGCCACAGCATACTGTAGGGGTCAGAAATTACTAATCGTGTTCCCTTATGGTCCCTTTATAACTATGCTATAATAACCCCCAAAACTCTGCTCTAATTGTTCAGGCCCCTGTGGGTTCTCAAGCCTGCGCCCCAACCTTTAGCCGAAGCCAGAGCTATCCGGGCCTTCTAGCCTCAACTCCCACAAAGCCCCATGCCCCTACTATGGCCCTTGGCGATTGTGCGGAGAACATAAGGACTCAAAAGAAGTTAGCTTTCGGGGGTCTGAACTTCAGAAATTCAACAGGCGACGTCCTGTCCTGCCATGGCAGCTCTACAGTGCAGTGATTGATCTGGTGATTTCGCGTTCAGCCCCAGCCCCAAAATCAAAGCTCAACACGTGGCTGCCTGGGCTTGAAGTTCCAGACTGTGTTGGATTGTTGAGCATTCAGTTCAGGCCGAGGTGTCAAGCCTGCAAGTCTATAAACCGATTTTAGGATCAGGGGGCTACCTGCCAAACCCAGGTGTCAGTAAAATCTGCTCGGAACTCTTTTTGTTGGCATTTCCGCTCTTTCCGCCTGTTTCCGCTCTTTCCCCCCAAAAATGAAGATTTAAGAAAAGCAGCCTTCCGCTAAAAATGCTCGAAACCCGTGCTGTTACATGCCCAAAAACGCGCGAATGCAGTTTTTTGAAACAGCTTCGGAGGACTGATCAGGGCTTGTCTTGGGCTTGTGTAGGGCTCAGGATAGTCCTTTCTAGGCCTTCCTGACTGAAGATTTTGGCTGACAATACCCCTCCATACACTAGATATCCACCGCGAACACCATGCATATGATACATGAGCGGATACATATATCAAATGTCACACTTCCTTATAATCGCAGCTATCTTTCCTTTCAACTTGTACATGACAAAGATGAGGGAGCGCCGGGATGAAACTGTTTTCAATACCAACAATAAGTCCCCTGTAAACCGCATGCTCTCTGAACCATAGAAACAAAGCTCAAGGGAGTTGAATGGGTTTAGGATGTTTTCGGACGGCTGCTGGGATATGATTTTAGGCCAGAGAAGAGGAGCAGGGGGTGGGGTGGTCAAGTTCCGCTCTTTCGGGATATTGGTTTGTGGGGGATTCCGGGGATTTCCGCTCTTTTGACGCGGATTTCCGCTCTATTGACGCCGATTTCCGCTCTTTGAAGCGCGCAGGTTTTAATCAACATTGGCTATATTTCCGGCCGTTTCCAGACACGGGTCACAGCACTGCAGTGGCTGCACGTCCAAGGTCCAGTTCTGGATGCGTGTCGACAAAGAGATTGGAGAATTTAGGTGTTTTTCATGGTTTTAAAATTTTATCGGGTTTTCGAGAGTCGAGAGATCACGAGAAACCCATTAAAGGAACTGTAAAAAAACAATCGTTCTTGCTGTTGACTAATCTTAATAGAACTCGTGCGCTCCTTACAACTCTATGAAAAATACTATTAAGAGCACTCCCATACTCCGTAATCGGTCTCATGACACCTTAGCTAATCCTTTAAGACTCTGTTAACGCCTGGTCTGGACTCATCACTCCTTCCTCACTGACAACCTACTCAATCGATAAACAAGCAGCATTGGCTAGGGAGGCCGGCGCTCGCGCAACATTCCAATCAAGCCGAACCTGAAAGAATGGCTCGCAACACACTTCGGAAACCACAGAAAAACGCTCTCACAAAACCTTGCGATGGCAGGTATTTCAAGCGTTCCGCACATTTCCGCTCTGAGTGGCCGAAAACGACTTTTTCATCTCATAAACATTTTTCTCCAGAAGAACTTTTATTCTGCAGCAAAGGGTTTGGCAGGTAGGGTTTACGGTTTCCGGGAGGACTCAGGGGTGCTGTAGGCTAAGTTCCCTTCTTGGGGACAAAGCTCAAACTTCCATAAGCATGTGCGCCAACCCTAAACCCTAAACCCTAAACCCTTTTGAACCCAGGCTCGGACAAGCTTGCTGGGAGTCCCGCCAAGCCAACCCCTCATTCAGGGCAGACCCGAAAAGCGATGCAGCCAAGGGACTTGTGCCTCCGGCACCACTGAGCAGGACAGGAGGACAGCATGAACCATCCACATGACTCGAGTCCATTCTTGCAAGAACTCTCGATGAATATACAGCACATCAGCTGAGGCAATCAAATCAATCGCCCACAAACTAGGTTGCAGCATCTTCAAAAAAGGGACAAGACGAATTACTTCCTCAACCGGCCAAATGCACGGCTTCCGATCTAGCCAGCATCAGTCCTGCAGGAAGCACCACACTCGTGAGTAGGTGCGGAACTCATGTTCACGATTGTCTGAGAAGACTGCCAGAAGGAGTTCTTCAGGGCATGAAAGGTACGCAAATTAGCATCCGAAATCGCACTAGGGATTTAATGACTCCGCATTCGCATTCAAGCGCGCTTGGCGGCGAGCTGTCTTCTGAGCAAGTCGTTGTGCTTTATGTTGGGCCCGAAGAACACACAAATCATCTGGAGCACAAGAAGACGGTATAGGCAACGATGAGCCCGTTGAACAAGTAGGGGGAAGGCTTGTGCAACCTCCAACTATTGACCGGCGGCCCACCTCCGTAGAACTCACACCACTCTCCACGGTCTCAGCACGTCGTCCAGCAGCCTCAAGTGTTTCCAATCGATACTGTAAGGCACGGAGTGATTCCTGGGCACTAGACACGACATTCTCAGTGATCTTTTCCAAGAGGGCTCTGCATTCTTCCTGTGACAGCATCTCCTCCGATGTCTGAACCGACGTGTCAGTCTGTATTGCCTGGCAACCACCACACGACTCTGCCTGAGGAGCCATTGGACTCTGGTACACTGCATTCAGCTGCGGCATCGGAGCGTTCCCAAAGCCCAGAGAAGCATGTAGGCTGATAGGTACTCGGATGTCCTCCTGTGGATGTGCAAGAGAGTACAGAATTTGCCATAGACCTGTTGCCACATCATGTCGACCTTCTTTTCTTGCCAAACGAACACTAAACCCCAAGCACGCGCATAGCTGTTTTGTGTTGACCCATCGCAGGCACAACGAGGGACCAACTCTAATTAGGGAAAACTATACACAAATACTCATTTGAGTCTCGTAGCC